GCTCAAAGAAAATGCTCATTGCAGCATTTCGGATTCCAGATTTTTGGATCGGGGATTTTCAGCTGGTAAGTATGATGCAAATATTCCAAAGTCCAAAAAATCTAAAACGTGAAACACTTCTGGTCCCAAGTTTTTCAGGTAAGGGATATTCAAACTGTGTAACAGAGTAGCCTATGTATCTACCTCTTAAAAAACCTTCATCATCTGAAGTCGAGGGATGTGCAGGTGTTTTTGCAGACTGCTAGCAGACTTTCCTCCCTAAGCGGAAGTCATGGATGTTTTGCATATTAACTTAGGTTACCTAGTTGCCTTGTCCTTGAAACGAGGCAAGAGATGCCGCGAGCTTGTTGGTGGTTTGGGGCTGTGGCTGCATAGTGGCATTTGGGCTGCTGTCTGGCTGGCAGCTGGTGTCTCTCAGCGTGTCTGACTGTTCAATTTGGTGCCGTGGCTGCTGCTGGGCCTTTCATGTGCCATGGGGGTTAGACGGAGGGGGGAGCCACTACATGGGTGGGAAATGCGGGGAACAACAGTATCGGGCTCCTTAAGGACCTCTCTGGGGTTCTGGAGCTTTCCATGACTGCTTCGCATGACATTAGAAAGGTTTTCAGCCTGAGCCTTGGTCTTTTGACAGGTATTTCATTGTTTTGTGTTAGATATTACAACTGGACAACAGCAGCACCTCTACTCCTGGCAATGCAGGCCTTCCAGAAACCTCTGCCAAAGGTGAGCTTTAACATGAGAAACAAAAGGGGATGCTAAAAATGATGGACAGATTAATCTGGGTGGTTGGAATTTAACTCTTATTTTAGAAACCACAAAGTTAATGACATTGTGCTCTTTTGAAGTTCATGAGCATATATGTCAGGACTTTCAGATCTTTCTCTCTTGCTCCTTGAACATTTTTTCTTCTCCTTCTTATTAAGGCAAAACCTCCTGGTTGTAGTAGTGTGGACCAAGGGTCCCTTTCCTAACACCTGTCATGCTAGGGACACAGGTGGGGGCACAGCAGAGGGAAGCCAAGTGAGGATGAGGGGGCAAGCGTGCCACGTTGTAGGGTTGGAGCAGGCAGCAGGGTTGGGTGCAGGGTGGCAGTGCACCAGGCCCCAGGCCCTAGCGCTAGCCTCAGGCATTGCTCAGCCAGGGAGCCAGCCCTGTGCCTTATTCTTGGAGGCAGGAGCCAGTTCAGGACCTGGGTGGCTCATAGTCCACAGGTGAGAGGAGGGCAGATATGCCACCTGCCAGCCCACAGTGTCCTCATCCTCCCCTCAACAATATGCTGGACACTCAGCCTGGAATTGTTAATTTTTTCCTTGTTGGATCTTCCTGTCACATTATACGTTATTTTTGCTGCAGAGACCCAGCCTTAGACTTGGTTGTTTCCTGTGTACACTCGGCAAGTACTTTGTAGAGCTGAGGATAGTGTAGTCTGCCAGGTGGGCTGAGGCTCTTGAAGGTCTCGTCTGACCTTGTTGAACCTGTGCTTGCTCCTTCGTGGTTGTGTGTGTGTGCTGTGATGTGGGGTTGTGGCCTCATCTCTGGTGGCACGTTATCTGTGAGCACTCTGTGGACTGGGCTGAGGGCACGTTCTCCACAGTGATTTTTGTTTTGTTCCTACCAGGTTCCTCACGGTATCCATAGCCTGGGATAAATTGTTATGTTTCTCAACTCTTACAAATCAATAAGAAAAAACACCAGTGTAACAGAAATATAGTTAAAGGATTAAGTTTACAGATAAATAACTACACATGGCTTCAAAACTTAAAGAAATTAGTTCTTGCGATATGCATGCTAAAATCTTTTTATAGGTGTAGTTAGTAATTTTTTGACACTACTTATGGTGTTTCTGTAATATAGAAATAATTTTT